CATTGGCTTAATTTAACGACAAGTTATTAAGAAAAGAAAACAAACAAACAAACAAAAACCAGGAAGGGGGAAATTGGCACAAGGTAAACTACTTCTCAGCAAATCCGTGAGAACTGTGACAGGACAATGCTGAGTCAAAAAAGCACCTCAAGGAGAACAAAACACTTTGGGCAGGTTTAAAAAAGGCCATTTGTTTTAGGGTGGGACTAGTTATTTGAAAGACAACCTCAGACTGAGACCAAAGGCCTAAGCCAAGAAGGTCTGAAAGGATGGGCTTGCTCAGCGTATTTACCATCAAGGTGCAGTAAAGTGCATGGGAGACAGAGATGAGTGAAGACTGCTGTTTTTAAAAACTTTCTGGAGGATAAAGATACAACCAAACCTAACTTAGTGACAGCAAACCTGTGCCCTACTCCTTTGCCTTGTATGAGGCCTGGCTAGAGGCAGAGCTAGTACTTGGCCATGTCACATACAGACCGAGGAATAAAAGCAAAATGATACGGGTGCCAGGCTGGTCTGGAGGAACCCACATTTCATTCCCTTCCTTGCCACTGACTCACTTTTGGGTCATTGTACCCGGTTCTAAAATGCCATTTATGGTTTCTCCATAGCTTCTGGAGAAGCACTGGTGGGCCAGGCAACTTGTGTTCACTTCTTTCAGTGGACAACATAGTTTTGGGGCCTGCATTCCCATGCAGAAAACCAGGTAAAATTTGGTGATATATACAGTGAGTATTACAATTATAATAAGTCAGATACTACTCTCCCGATATATACACAGACACTATGCATACATTATTTATATCTATGCGAATATGGTGAAATAGAAAAAAAAATAGATGCGCACACACACACACACACACACACATACATACATACACATAATGCTGCTCAATTTCTACGAGACGCTACAAAATAGGTTTTCATTCAGCGGTGACTCATCTTTGGAGCTCTTTTTTTTTCTTTTCTTGCTGCTTAATCCAAGAAACTCTGACTAAGTCAATTTTGCCACGTCCCAAGTGTAGCAGGGATTCCTCACAGTTTTTGATGCAAACAGAACTAGTAATTCTCCTCAGAAATAGCAAGAAATTGCTATTTGCGGGCTCATGCTTTACGCAATGATGACCTTGGCTGAGGCAACCCAAACAGAATGGGCCTCGGCGCATGAAGTCAATGCCATTGTGGTAAATAAAGGCAGCACCAGAAAAGCATGATTTCAACATCCCCTGGCAAATGGAGCACGGGGCGCTACACTCATAAGCTGTATTTTTGTAATGACAGTCTGGGAACCCGATGGCACTATGTCATAGTGAGACAATCCAGTGTTGTCTCTCAGACTGGGGTTTTTTTTCTTTTTTTTTTTTTTTAACAGATACTTTTTATACTGTACATGGCTCTTAAAACGAGTTTTAATAAACCCCGAGGCACGGTGGAGATAGGCTGGAAGGGAAATGACAGGTACGTGTCGATAGCTCTAGCTAATGGCGGCGAGAGGTCTCTGAGAATTTCAGGTTTTGATTAGGGCTTTGTGGTTGATCACTGTACGGTCGATAGGATTAGAGCAAACAACAAATAAATAAAGGAGAAGGAATGTAAAACCTGCCCCGGGACATCTAGAAGCCATCAGCTGGTGCGGTGGGGGTTAGGAAGAATCTTTCCTTCTGGCCAGTTTATACCACAACTGTCGACCTTCCTGTGAAGGATTGAGTGCCGGCCCAGAGAGAAGATGCTGGGCCAGATGAACGATGGGTGTGATATATCTAGCAAGTCCTTTGTCTTTCCAACCACTGTCTGCTCTCTCCATGAAATGTCAGAGACACCTGTGAATACACTAAACAGCTTTTCAGAGGCAGAAAATATTAACAGCAGAATAAATTTATTTCTCACAAGAGTTTGCATACCTGGGTTTCTTTGGGTTTGGGATTTTTGGGGGGAGCGGGAAGGGGGCATGTTGTTTTTTCTCTCTCTCTTTTTTTCTGGTTGTTTCTGTTTAAGTTTTTGTTTGCTTTTTTTCCCCCTGTCTTATGAGTGTTTTGCTTTTGGTTTGTAGCCCAAAATATATCTCAAACTAAAAATCAGATAAGGCCATCACACCTAAGCAGAGAGATAGACAGGAGTGGAACTAGTGTCAATATTCCCAAGGTTAGGAGACAGTCTGATATAATGTTTGTTACTGTTGGTGATTAAAAAGTTAGGTCTGAGCCAGGCCATTCATAGGTCAAAATTCAGACGCAAACTTACAGTTTGAACCAGGAGGTAAAGCCACAGAAGACTATGTTTGTCCACCTGAAGCCATTAATCAATCTTGGTTTCAGGAAAACTCAGCCCAAAGTCCTTCAGAACTCAGCCCAGCTTCACCAAAAAGCTACCCAAGCTTTGTGAGTTGGGCCCAGATTTCAAATTTATAAGGTTGTGTGTCTGTTCAAAGGATCCCTATGTAAAACTAAAGGCAGCTAACTCAGGGCAATTAAGTAGAGTGACATAGTTAGCAGACATAGAAAGCAGGCCTGGGTGGTACCTTAGAGGCTAAGTAGTTCAGAGAGATGTAAGTATTCGTAGATAAAATTTCATTTGAGCTAAGTACAGACAGTTATAAAGCCCAGGGCTGAATCGATTCAGTCTTTGCAGGTTAGTCTAAGCGGCACAGATTAATTTAAAGGAGAAGCGAACAGACACGTTTACCTTTGATCAGGAAATGCAGCCACATGCCTGCAGTGGCTCTCAGGAGGCGCAAGAGCATGGCTCTCTAGCTGTGAGTTCACTTCCTCTTCCTGCTGCCCCCAATATCTCTGGGCTTTGCAGTCCAGAATTACAGCAGCAGGCCTCTGCAGGGTTGCTCATCACTTCCTCTTCCTGCTTAATAAATAAATTTGACCCAAATCAGTTAAGTTTGATACTACATTCAACCAGCTTTATCTTAAACCCGTTTCAGCCATTTTGAAACTGGTTTATGGGCACTGAACTTCTGTTCTGTTATAGGTTTAAACCAGTTTCTGATCGTTTAAACCAGTTTGTGTGTAACTTCTGTCCCAGGCCTTGAAGGGTAATTAAGATGATTAAATTAGGTTTTGCAATTGATCCAAAAAACTCGAAAGGAATCTGACACATGGACCTCTGTGCCACTCTTCCTCCTTTTTTGTGTGTAACTTTTGTTGATAAGCTCCCAAATCACAGGCTCTTCTTTAGATCTCTCTAATAAAGCAGCAAGCTTTATCGAGCTCCCCTCATCATAGAGGCCAGCTCATGGAAGTTGGACTTTCTCTACCACTCACTCCATTCTGTCCGCTGCTCAACTCTTTTTTACACCACATACACATCACCGATGTCTCCAAGCACCTACAAATAACCTTAACGGTGTCCTTGTCTGTCAGATCCATACCCTGAATGCTAACATTGGTTGTAAGCAAGATTACAATTTTAACCAAAGCTGTTCAGGAGATAAGGAAGCCACAGGTAGAATGAACAGATCCTCTGAACATAGAGTTTATCATAACTTTATTAGGCTAACTCTGGTGTCTGCTAGTGGTGGATTTCATCACTGTGTCCTTCCATATTTGCTTATAGTGTGGCTTTTTCACTGGTGCGTGCTGTATGTGCTCGTTAGCTATTTTACAGTGTTTTGGAGGAAGAAATATTAACACAGATCTACACTTTGGGTATGTTGAGTCTCTTAGCCTTTTCCCCGATTCTCAGCTTTCTCTTTTCAAGACAGTTTTGTTAAGATGGTATGACCTCCCAGGGGCCTGCTTTGGAGTTGCACTAAATCTGTGATGAATAAAACAACTGTGGGGAGGCTGCCATAAATTAATTGCACTATTTTACATGAGTAAGAAAAGTAGCAGGAGATTTGAGACTGAAACGCAAATATGACTAGTACTTGAGATTCATGGTTGAAAGATTGGTAGGGAGGGGGAAAAAAAGATATCCTAATGGGTTGGGGAGGGGGGGTGGCAGGAAAGAGAAACAAGCTTCTGCCCAGAGCATTTTGGTTAATAATAAGCAGTTTGGAGTGTCAATTTACATTTGCTTCAATAAATGTTGCTATTTAATGTTCATATTTTAATTTTAAAGGCATGTAATCAGCTAGCTGCTGTGGATCTGTACTACTGGCCTTTGCTGGTTGGAGTCTGAATTGCCCTCTGTATGTAATTCATATGTCCTCTAACACCTAGGGAAAGTCACTATTTAGGTGTCTGTTTATTTTGGGAGTGGGCTTGGTTGATTTGTTATCTTTTCTTTTTTTCCCAAGGAATCGGGGTTTGCTCCCTGCTGTTCTGTGCAGTCCCAAGGGGCTGCTGTGTCCTGCATACTGACATGTTTTACCATGAAGACATGCTGCAGAGCGGTCACATCAGTCAGGAGTGAAAAGTGTGTGTGTCACAGATGCCCGAGGAGGAGTTTCATCTAAGGGGAGTATTAAACATTGGCTTTTGGGTAGGAGCAGCACTGTCCCCTGCAGGGCAAAAATCAAAACTTCTCAGAGCTCCACGTCATATCTATGCCACTTGGAAGGGGATTTCTGAGTGCTGTCTTCTCAAGCATTAAGGCCACCATCTGCCACCTTTACTTGCATGTTATGCAATGCTATGAATAGTGCAACTATTCTTGGGGGTTGGCACTACTCAATGTGCTTAAAGCTGAGGGTGTCCCCCTTAAGAGTCAAGTAGCCCAACGTACGCCCTTTTCTTTCTCAGAGTATGCCATTTTCTCTCATTCCCCCACGGAGAGAGAAAAAGTGGAACATCCTGAAAGCAATTGCTGGGAGGAAGTAACTTCTTCAAGCGCAGGGTAATTGTTTGACAATGCAGAGTTTGTTTGCAGAAGGAGTGAGCCTGAGTTGGCAGGGGCCATTACTCTGCTTTAGACAGAAATGCAGGACAAAACATGAAGCCTTGAGAGAGAATCTCGAGTCAGCAGAGTCGCTTCTTTCTGAAATGCTTCGTGCCAGTGCATCCAACTTTATTGCTGGTGCATGTGTTTTTGGGGGCAATTAATAGTGCCTGCAAGCTCGTTAAAAGGCCCAGTGGCAACTTGCACATTTTAGCCTTTTGTAGATAAGCATGTCCTTCTTCTGCTGTTGTCACCGGCTCCCAGGTACTTCAGGAGAGGTAAGAACACAGCTATGTCTGTGGTACCGAATGCTTGGGGCATCAGGGATTGCAATAGGATAGGTGGGAAGCATAATAGTGAAGAAGTGAATCACACAGCAAAATGTTATCTGTGATCATTGTTGCCCTGCATTGTAGAGCTGGAAGGAGGTTGTCCCATGAGGATAAGGTCTGGCCGATGAATAGATAGCACTGCAGTGAAAGAATGAGAGAGAGTTCAGTGTAGTTATATAGGAAAAATATATATTGTATATAAACAACCTGGTCACGATTTGTGTGCAGACAGGGAATGCAAAGGCTATTTGCCTGTGTACTCTCATTACAGGTACAAAGAGTGTTGGAGAAACAGGTATTATGGGGTTACTACTTCCTCCTCTTAACAGGTGGTGCATGGAGCAGGCAGGTAGGCACAAAGAGGGGAGAGGGAGGATCCTTGGCTGTCTATCCACAACAGCTGAGGCTATGCACTGGGCAAAGCGTGAGCCAAGTGTCTGCTTGGCTCCCAAGGCATTGCTTAACTCTGTGCTGACACTCACTTAGGGCAGATTGCAATGTGCCAGTCTGGCCTGAAATGTGAACTAGAGGCAGTAAGGGAACAGAGCGTGTTACTGGAACTGTTCACCTTTGCCAAAAGAGGTTTTTGCATGGTATATTATTTTGGAAAATATTTTGATTTATTTTCTTGACACCTGATGCAGAGCTTATGGACTTACATGTTCATTGGGGATGGTAGCTTCACATTATGTGTTTGTGCAGCATCTACACACTGCAGCTTTGGTCCATGCATTGGTTCCTATGCATTACCTCGACACAAAGTAATGATTCAATAATTAAAATAATGAAATGAAAGAGCTCCATCTTTAACAATTAACTCCCCCTCCTCATTTACATATTTAAACAGCAACCCTCTGCATTCTTTTTCCATGGGGTTAGAAGCCCAAATTTGTACCCGTGGGCTAAGTACAGACAGACAAAAAGCCCAAGGCTGAATCAATTCGATCTTTGCAGGTTAATATAAGCTGTGTAGATTCAAACAATAAGCAAGTGAACAGATGTTCACTTTTGATTCTGGAAATGCAGCCACCTGCCTGCAGTGGTCCAGGCCAGAAGCTGAGGGGCGCTAGAGCATGCCTCCCTCCTTGGTTGGAGCAGACAGCTTTGGCCAAGGCTAGCCCACCTACACTACAAGGTGGGGTTTGTGGGGGAAGTGCAAAGCATCCTGGGATACTGGGAGACTGAGAGTTAACTTGAATCTGAAGGGGATCTGGGGCAGAAGTTTAATAAACTGATTTAACCTAAGTCTGTTCAGTCTGATACTACATCCATCCAGGTTTATCTTAAACCAGTTTTGGCCATTTTGAAAGCAGTTTATGTGCACTGAACTTCTGTTGTGGTACAGATTTAATTTCAGATCACTTATACAGGTTTATGAGCTATTTCTGTCCCTGGCCCTTTTAACTGCATAATTTTCTTTATATTTAAACATGGCAAAGACTCGTAAGACCAAAATGGGTAGCAATTTAGAGATTTTTCAAACACGCATAAGTGAGCATTGTCACTAATGCATCATCAGTGTGTATCCTGCCAAGGCATTATGATTTTATACTGCCAGTTGAAATTTTTTGAATTTCAGAATTATGATGAAAATAATTTTTCAGTGATTTTAAATTTACTAGATAAAACTTTTGCTTTTCTACCAAGTTCTAATCTGTCATTCTCCAAAAGACAGCCAATATTATTCATTAAGCTTTACAATACTCATGGTGGGATAGGGAAGAACGAACGTCTTCATTTTATAAAAGAAAAGATGGAGGCACCAGCAGAATGCAACTGAACCTAACTTTCCTCGCACTTACTTTTTAAAAAGTTTTTAAACACTATGTGAGCTCATTGACATTATTTTTCCCAGCAGCTTGTCCCAAGATTTGGCTGCAAGCAGGAGGCAGCTTTTGGTACACTGAGTTATGAAGTGTGTAACATAGTGATGATGGACCGCTAACAACCAACCTCTGGTGGCAATACCAGAGAATGTAATGGAGGCTAAAAACAAGCGGAAAAAAATCTTTTCTATCAAAAGCTAGATAAGATCATTTAGCTCACTTATAAGCAACTAGTGGCTTCTTCTCTGGTTGGTTCTCAAAACACAGACTTAATTTTCTATAAAACAGCCAACATTTGGAATAGCATGCTAAAGAATGGCTTACAAGTAGATGTGGGGGCAAATTTTCAACTCAAGTAAACGGTCCTAGCACTATCATGGGTTATATCAGCTCAGTGCAGAGAAAAACAAGGAAGAAAACTGTATTTGGGTAAATTAAAACTTTCTAATTTTTCATCTGGGGGTTATGAGACTTCTTAAACTTTCCTTTCTTCAGGTGAGATTTTGCTTGTGGTCCATCATTGCACAAGCAATACCACTAAGTGTAGGGGGTCATAAGATACAGCTCCACGCAGGTAAGGGCATCACAATTAGGTTCATTGCTCATCACCGAAACTTGTGTGAAGGCATTGATACCCCTCACCTTTAAAGCTGATTTTGTAAGCAATATATAAGACACTAAGGGTCTTCCCTGAACGGAGATACAGGTGGCCCTAGGGCAACCACCAACGATAATAAAGCAGAAGCAAAGCTAACTTCTCAGTTTGAAGCCCTTACTTGAGACATAACTTTTTCTCTCTTCCACAGAGGGAACCTCTTACTGCGCAGTACACAAGGCAACCCTCTCAAAACACTGGTAAGAGTGAACTATTTTCCTTGGAGGTTTTATTTTTTCTGTTTCTGGATGGTGGTTGAAGTGATAATTAGTGAGTTCTGGTCCTAGCCCAAAAATGTTGCAGCACTGAACTGGTACACACACACACACACACACATACACAGAGCCTTGCATTTTGTGCAGTCAAAAGACACAAAACAAAGGAAAAAAAAGAAATTAAGTAGACCCCCCCACCCCCCACAACTGAGTTTGCAAGCATGTGGTTATAACAAGGTATGTTAAATGGTAATGATGTCATAGTACTTTTATCCAGAAGAAACCTAAATTCTTTTACTAGCTGCCAGGCACGTGTAGGAATAATTGCAGTGCTATTGGAGTACAACCACTTTAGGGTGAAATGAAGGAGGTTTAGGACAGGAAGTGAAGGGTATCAAGTTTGGTTGAAACTTAAAGGAAATTTAAAGGAAGTAGAATACGATTGCCAAAGGGAGACTATTGCCGAGGAACTGGGGGTAACATCTATATTCAGTTTGTAGCAATACCCATAAATGGGATATTTAAAAGATTTGGAAACTTGGTAGTGGTTGCTTTTACTAGTTTATGAAACTTAAGTAAATGGTGAATTGGTTCAAATTCTTCCGATATCCAGTAGGATCTGCCCGAATCACAGTGCACACAATATAATAAGATCTTGTTCCAGAGCCCATCTCGGTGAAAACCAACATGGGACGCCTGGCATATAACTCCCAGGAGGGAGAATGGTGGCTTAGCTGCACTGAAATATTTTGGGGTTTGGCTAAACTATTTTGGTTTTCAATCAAAAAAAATGAAAACATTTATGTTTTTTAACCATTTTTTTTTTTTTTTACTTAGAAGAAAAATCTAAATTTTCTTCAGAAAGCAAAAGCTTTCTGTCTATTTTTTTTCCTAAACCCCAATTTCCATCCAGGAACAGGCCTAGTATTTTACCTGGAAATGATTTAATGGGGAGCCCTCTATATTCGGCAAACCTATACATCACCTGGCAAAGAATTCTACTGGGCTTGTTCCTCTCATCTCTCTCAATAGTATTTCACAAAAAAGTCTAAACAGGAACCAATTCATTTATATTTTCCAAAGAGTCTTAAACAAAGATACATCTTGAATAAGACAGAGGGCAAAATTGGACATTGTCTGGCACATCGGGAGCAGAATCTGAGCTTCCCTCTAGCTCCAAATGGATTACAGTCACTCTTGATCTTTCTTCTTGTTCAAGAAAAGGGAACTCTTTTTCTTTTTACTGAACTTATATGCTTTTTTTTTTTTTCAAACACTCTCAGTATTAATTTGGCACCAGGGAAGCATACTGGAACCTAGTTTTGGAGAATAAAGTCTGACCAAAGTTTTCCTTCTTAAAAAAAAAAAAGTCTCTCTGACATTTGTTGGAAATATTACTAGCAAATAGATCATGTGTTCCATTGCTCAGGAGATGCAATTAGATTTTCTGCAGGTTTGTAAAACAAACTATGGTCTAAGGATGTTGTCATGGAATCATTAGTCTGCGTCCCAGTTGGATAACTCAGTTTTTAATTATTAGGGCTACACTGCTTTCAGTGGTGCACCTATATTGCAATGTTCAAAGGGATTTGGATGTCAAGTTCTAATTAAAATTATCAGGAATTGGGCATACACACATTCTAGGTGGATTTGAAAGTGTCAGCTTATTAGTTCCCTTAATCAGTTGCAAAAAAGCAGCATTTAGCTGCTGGAGAAGGACGTTAGTCTCAGGTCTTGAAATGACTGGATTGATCCTTGTCTTGGTTTGAATCAACAGTTTCGAGCGACAGTATAGCCATGCTTCTTTACAGCAATAGAGGGCATGGCCCTTCGTCTTGCCTTCTTTCTTGTGATCTGTGGGAAGCAAGATATCCCAGATCTACCTACTGCAGGATTCTTCCATGCAATGCTTCTGGCCACCTTAAGAAACACTGTACAACATTAGATGGGGTCTGATCCAAGGTATGGCTCCATGTTCCTAATAACTGTGGAGGGGCCTGCTCCCCTGGAGGGCATCTTCAGGCGCGGGTGATTCGATAGGTAGCTTTAATTTCAAAACAAAAGCCATTTCAAAGCAGGAAGCCATTATTTTTTTCATGTGGAAAATATCAATGTGGCATGTTGAAATGATTTCAAAACTTTTTTTACCCCCCATTTTTTTTCCATGGAAAATTTTCAGTTTTCACTAAGAGGAATTTCTTCTTGGAGAAACAACAAAAATACTTAAAAAAATAAACAGACTCTTGTTAGCAGCAAGCCTAATGCTTGAGAGACCTAGCAACAGTGTTTTCTGCTTCCTGTGTGACCTTGGACAAGGCCACTTGAGGCCAAGCTTTTAAAAGCACCTATTTTTACAAGCGACTTAGGCACTGAGGAGCTTAAGAGTCATTGAAAGACTCATGGCCCTTAAGTCACTTTTGAGAATGGGTTTTTGATTCCTAGATCTTTGAAATGCTTTTGAAAGTCTTACCCTTAATCATGTTGTGCCTCTGAAAGGGGATCATAGCACTAGACAAGGGATACTGTGCATTAAAAATGATCTGGTGTTCCTATAGTAGCCCAGGCCAGATGAATACATAAGCAGGTAGGTAGATGCCGCTCTACCAAGAGAATGTCTAAACATAGCGATGAGTCTGTAGTTGATCCTGGTGCATAACTCAGGCTCTTACATACATTGCTTGCAAGCTTTTTTATCCAGGTCCTGCTTAATTTATTCCTTTGCTAACCCTCAGATGCCTGTGGGCTTCTAATCTTCCCAGGTGTCTGCAGTAAGGAGGGAACCCTTGCCATGAAAGTGGTAAATGTGCTCGAGATTGACACACTGTTTTCAGATATCACTGAAACTTTCAACAAGCAATACAGGGATCACTCTGCCATGGAGGAAGCTATCCGAAGGCTGAAAGAGGCTTCTGGCTGTGCTCCCACTAGCAGCCTGACCGACTGTATAGACAATATAAAGCGGGAACATGGTGAGCAACTGCAGACTAAAGCTACCTAAAGCCATTACTAAAACAATGGGTTAGTAACTGTGCATTTACTTTAGTCCTTGGAGAACCAAGTACTAAATCAATGCATAGTAACTGGTGCTACTGCACAGTACCACCAGCGCACGGGGTCTTCCAGAAACTAACTACACTGTAGCCTAATGCTACTGAGCAGTAGCGTATTAGTACAGGTTTTGCCCAACATGCTACTGCACAGTGTTATTAGGCTACTGTGCAGTTAGCATCTCATGTAGACGCACCCAGTGAGGACCAAATACACCATATAAAGTAGCAGCAGCATCTTCAAGCCAATTCAGACACTCATCAGCTGGACTCAGTAGAGAACAGTCTACAGACTCTTGGCTAGGAGAAAACTCAGCAATGAAGAGCCTGCATTGGATAGGAGTGCAGCAGTAGATGCAGTAATAAAGCCCTTAGCAACTGCGTGTTAGAGCACATTAAGAGTAGTAGCCTTTTCTGTCCCCACAACAGTCTGTTTCAGCCCATTCAGGGGCCTAGAAAGAAAGTAGGGATAAAATAAAAACTCTGCATCCATTTTAACCCTCCCCACACCAGGATTTTAAAAGGTTTTAACTGGGTAGTGGGGAGTTGCTGCTCTGTAACGTGGGGCACCACATGAAAAGGTGGTGTGGTATTTGCTCTCCTCATAGAAAAACTGGGAGTGAGGTTCAGCTCTGGCCTCCCACATGCTAGTGCCAGCATTAGAAAGCAGAATGACCCCTGTTTTGAATATCACCTTACTTAACCAAAAAGAATCAGATCTTGTGGTAGAGGTGACATCTTTTATTAGACCAACTAATTTTTTGCAAAAAAAAAAAAAAAAAATTGGCAAAAAATGTGTTGATCTAATAAAAGACATTGCCTCTACCATGAGTTTTGATTCCTTTTGCCTCTAGACCAATATGGCTACAATCTGGATACCTCACTTAAATTTTTTTCCCCCACCATTTAAGTTGGTTTAATAAAAGATATCAGATTCACCCAAAGAACCTTGTCACTTAACCAAAGCATTTGATAAATTCACCGATACTTGTGCTGCCAAGTCCTGGATTTCTCCCTTAGTGTGCAATGCAGCCAAGACCCTACGGTTGTATCTTGGGGTGCGCCGAGGGCTAACAATTAAGCCGGGGAGATGGATCAGGAGCAGTCATTGCAAAGGAAAAAGAAGGGCCTAAAAAACTGGTGCTGGCCTCGACAGCAGCCAAGGGAACTGTTTCTTTGCTAATCTCTGGTGTGCACCACAGGAATAAGCGGAGTGGTTTATTATCCACACCTGGAATTGGCAGGGAAACAGTACAGAGATGGCCTAAGACTCTTGGGTCACCTTCTTCTGCTGGGGCTCTACTATGATGGTGAACTTCATTTTTTTTTCCAGCCAGTTTGTCCTGACCGCACAAACCTCTCTTAGGTTCTCATCCAGTGTCTAGATTTGGCTTTCTTGTGCGGGTTCACATGGCAGCAAAGCCAATCCTTCCTGTGTAATGTTGACCTGCTAAGCTACTGCAGAAAGGAAACCTAAACCAAAGGGGCCAACAAAACCCACACGGAAGGAAAACCCATATGTTTGTGAAACCAATAAGAAGAAGAACAATGAAGAGTCTCATGAAAGATTAGAATGGATTTGCAATATACTTTTATAGGCTCACTCAAGGCTTGACAGTTTGCAGTGAATAAATGGGAGTAAATGACAGAGGATTATGGGTCAAATTTACCCTGTCTAACTCCATTGGCTGCAATGGAGGAAATGTCAACACACCCGTGCCAAGGATGAATTTGGCTTTGTATGTTCAAGGAAGTGGCATGGAGGATTTTAGCTTATATTACTGGCAAATGCTTCTATTGTGCACACGCACACAGACACATTGCCGATAAGGAAGTTGGAAAGAGCCTAATTTTGTGTCTTGGAGCAGATCTGTTGCTCTGAGTGTTTAGTGTTTGAGGGGCAAAAGCATTGAGACATCTCTTTTGGACTCAAATCAGAATGAGCTAAATCGCTGGATATAACTTGTTTTGTCTTTCAGGTGCCTGCAATTTGCAGGTGCACATGGACGGCTATAGCTTTTCACTCATTGTAAAGGAGAAAGAAGTGCCTGCAGACCTGGAGCAGGCCCAACGGCAGGTGTGGGAACTGAATCGTGCCACAAAGCATGTCATTGCTACAGAAACAAAACTCCAGGAAATGATCTGTTCAGTGCTTCAGAGCCAGAGTCAGCTGGCAGAGAGAATGAAGGCTGCAAACCCAGAGTACCTGGACCAGGTACGGCTAGACGCTAATCTGAGAGAGAATATCCAGACCGTGAGCCAGGCCAAAGAGCTCTCCAAGCAGTACGGCAAAGATGCCAGCAGCGTGCTGAAAGAAATGGCCCACCTAGCTGGTCTGATCCTGTAAAAGGTTCAAAAGTAAGGATCCAGCTGGTATTTATACCTTCCCCTTTGTACCTAAAATTTACAGAGTGCTGAAGAGCACACCTTGGTACAGCCATGATTATCTGGGCAATGTATAGGTAGTTGTACTAGGTCTGGTTTATTTATCCAAGGAACCTGAATCAGGAGAGTAGGATTTCTTCTCAAGGGGCTGAAGTGATGGACAAAAAGCATGTCCTCCTGTTCATCTGCCAAGCACTCAAGCCCTCTTGCAGGGTTTCAGCCAACCATCACCTCCAGTGCCTCTTAAATATCTGCAGAACCAGAGAAGTACAAAGTAATGAGAGCTAGGCCAGAATGTAGCCCAGAGACCATATGTGGCTTATCTAAAGCCACTTAGATAAAACAGCTTATATAAGAATTCAGAAGTCCCACCCCTATTTTCTAGGTTCAACAAAGCTGTCTTCCAAACCGAAAGCATTCCCTCGTGTTAAAACCAGGTGCTCAGACCAAGGCTTAAAAGTTCCCTTTGAAGCAATAAAGATCTACTTTGCATTGCTTCTCAGAACTATGGAAAGGAAATATGATTAATTGTGCCATCAGAAGCTGCTCTTTCCCTCCTTCTAATCTTGATGTTTCTAGAGGGCTTTCATTGAGCCAGAGATTCCCATATTACTGAAACCACGTGGGTGTCTTGCACTTTGGGATTGAGATGCATAAATACAGCTCTGGAGGGATGGAATAGCAGGAGTTGGTGAAGATTAGGATAAAGGTGCATTGCATGGAGGCAGCAAGGGAAGTGAAGCAGGAGAAGGACAGCAAGAGTACTATGCTTTGGGTATGAGGTGTATTATCCCATGCTAGGATAGCATGGGGGCCACAAATTTGGACTGAAGTGCATCAAAAAAACCATGATGATGACTTAATGTTGGAACAACATGGTTATGTATGCTTCAAATCCAGATTGAGAGGCATCTGCCAGCCTGAATGTGTTTGTATTATACTTAATCATAGCTAGTGCCATTAATCTGCTTACTAGGGACACCCGAGGTGAATTCAAATTGCAGCTTGCAAATACCAGGGTGCTTGCCATCAAGAAGGTGAAGGGGAGTCTACTGAACACTTAGCAGTGATGTTTCATCCCTTTGAAGACCAATTGGATTACACCTGAATTGTCTTGCACACCTTCAACTGAGCCTTGAGGCTTATGTCAACCAAGAGAATTCAATTTTTCAATAATTCTTTAGGCCACAAAGCTACTCGCTAATACCAAGAAGAAAGTGGGCCTGTTGGGAGCAGGGACTGTGTGTCCGAGGGGAAGGAAGCAGGGCAAGGGGGAGATCAGATAATTTTTCAAGTGCTGGACCTGGCTACTGGTTGAAAAGCTCATTGAATTCACCACATTTTTTAAGGATGAGGGAGAGAATAAAAACCACAAATGAAACCTTACTCAGCCTGCTCAAGCACCACAAATAACTACAAAGGGAGCTCAACCTCTGGGCTTTTAGACTGTCTCTGCTCTGCCCGGTCTTATTTTTTAAGCCTTGTTTCCATGCACCCCTGCTCACCCCCAAAATACGTCAGAGAATCCCGAGAGACTTCCCTCAGCCTTCGGCATCCTTTTGCCAACTTTCGTACCTCCATCAGCTCACCCACCTCACAGAGGAAGATTGCAGCAGGGCTCTTTGCTCTGTCAGGGAGGCTTTCTTGGTAAATGTCCATGTGAATCTGTCCTGCCAGAAAGCCAAACTATTCAGACATTTCCTTTCAGGAGTTTCAGGATGCCCATTCATTAGACACAAATTTTGCACAAACTAAAAGATTCCAAATTTTATTATTATTTTCTGAAAGCAATTGAATGCCCCCGCAACCAGGTTGGGCTGACAAGATAGCTTACCTGCCCCCACCTACATCCAATGTTGTCGATTTCTACCTCCCTTCTTTTATTTCTTTTCCTTCTATTTTTAAGGAATTAGGGGAATAGGTTCATTGCCACAGCTATTTCCTGCTGCTCTCCCCATAGCATGCTGACAACTGCTTCTGGTAGGCTCCCAAGTATTTGTTTTTCAAACAAATGGACATTTTGAGTTATCAACATCTCAGAAAGTTCACTTGATGGGTGCAGTTTCTAGGAGCACTAGGTTTTCTCAGGTCTGTTACTCCCCCTTTCCCATGACAAAAATAATTTCAGGTGCTTTACCACGAGATATATTGGGTTCTTTGCGTTCTGTTTATCCAAGTGAATAAATATGATTACAGTGTAATCACTTATTGAGGCCATTAGCTCTTCCAGTAAGAGTAGGTGCATAGATTAGCACACAAGGAAAAACCTGTTTTCTACATGCCATGTGTCGGATCAAATTAATACAATACATGTGACAGCACATCAAAATATATCCTCCATTCAGCTGATCTGGGTGATGTTCCTCCTCAGTGGAAGAGCTAACTACGTTGCAATCTCCTACATCAGACATGTTTAATTAATGCTGGTCAGTTGTATAGTAATATGCAATATATTTAATGAAACATATACACAGGCTATATTCTTCTCCCATGTCAGGAACTCTTATATATGCTTCTTTGGCTATTGTTACACTCAGACACACCACAAACCTCATAATGTCTGTGGTTGATTCAGTCCAGTGCACTCAGACATGTCTAAGGGCTATTTGGAAATGTACATTTTGGAACGCACCGGCATTCCACTGCTGCCATATTCACGACGGGAGCGCTCACTAACGTGATGAAAGGATGGATTCTGTGAACCTGAAAAACACAAGCCAGATCTTCAGCTGGTATAACTTGATGTAGATCCATGGAAATCAAGCTGAGGATCAAGCCTATGGAGAAGGAATTAGGGCTGGTCAGAACATTTCAACAGAACACGTTTCCATGGAAAAATGCCATTGCATCCCAAACGGTACCTTTTGAGAAAACATCCATTTTGACAAGAGTTTCAACAGAGGTCCATGATGGATGAGAGACAGACAGAGCAAAAACCTGACCTTTTTGATCTGAAAACAGATGTTTCAACACAATTCTCTTTCACAAGAACCTTTGAAAGCATTTGTTTTTATTCCAATGGAGAACAAATACAAAATTCAAAACTTTGCAAGTTGTCGGGTGATGGAATTGTCATTTTACTGGCCAGATCTAATAATGCCTCCTGTGAGCAATCCCACTGAAGTCAAACTGGTGTGACTGTTTTTATGAGTCAGTGCTTCTCGACTTGGGTAGGAGTTGGGAAATGTGGCCCCGGTCGGTAGTGGAGTCGCATTTCCGTGCCCGCTGCCTCTCAAGTGCAGATGAAATGAAAAGTTGGCCTTCAGTCTAGGGTATTGCTAGAGTCGCTCGGTTTCCTTTCCTTCCTCCACCATACATTTTCTGTGTGAACTTGAAGAGAATCGATGAGTCTCTTACTTCCCCACCTGTGAAACGAGGGCAATAATACTTCAGAGGGGTGCTGGGATGATCACAGATACATTAACAATTGTGAGGTACTCCATTTTTATGGTGAACTGGGCCTCCGATATCGCAAAACATCCTACTTCTCACTCAAGCAATAGTACCAAATACCAGATAACTCACAAGATTTTTCACATTTGTTTTGCCAGACCCATGAGGTTTCACCAGAGTGGGAAAAATAGCTATATTGTAGTGCCTGTACTCAAGCCAAATTGAATCTTGTTGAGGTTCTTCCATCACCGGAGATTTTTCTGCCCGTTTCAGAGCAGGATGGCTTTTCTGCGTCAGGCATATGGGGTTTGTTGCAGGACTGAAAAAAAAACCCAACCAAAAACAAATGATGGGACAGGGGAAGCATTTCAAATCTTGAAAAGTAATTTGGGGAGGGTAATTCTTGGAGACAGCGGGAGCAGATTTAAAGATAGCATCCTCTGCTAATCCCATCCCATTTTTTTCATGGGGATCCCACACCTCAAGATTTCTGGAGTCGCAAGGCTGACCAGGGTCTGAAGCACAATGTGAGGCTTCCATAAATGTTTGGTCTTTCTAGGGAAAAAAAGGGCACTGTACTATAATATTTGGATCTCTGATTGGTGTTATTAAAGATGCTGGCCATCTGGACCCCACTCGGTCTAATTAGTCATCAGCAGGGTGGCGTTCTCGTAATAAAAATCCTCCGCTCTTTTCGCCCGGCCTCCGCGTGCAGACTTTGCAAGGCTCGCCCATCTCCGATTTCGTACTGCGGAGGGTGGATGCATTCTCACTTAACAGCCATCCACCCTGGAGCTCACAGGCCAGCAGCATGTTACTTGGCAGAGCCGCTAAGCATAAGCCCGTAAAGTGCAGCAGGCTGGAAACGTTGCAGCCAAATACGGCACAGGAGCCAGGAGCATGTGATTCACCCCACCCTCGTTTGTAAGTCATTCTGGTGTCAGGCTTCCAAACTTCATTACTTTGCAGAAAAATAAAACAGGGGATTAGGAAGCAGGGGGAACAGAAGGGGAGACAAAGAAAGGGAAGTAAAACCTGAACAATATAGAAGGGTCCCAAGCACCGTAGGTATCTCGAAAGTCCTAGGTGTTGAGCTGGTCTTATTTGTTTCAAACGAATTTCCCTCTAATCTCCATTTCCTCCTTTCACTTTAGCTACCATGTAGCAGAAAGGGAATTAGGTGGATTGAGTGAATCCATTTATTTCAGCCTTTCCTGTGCCAAGACAATTGATGACCACGTGACCCTTGCTCTCATTATATTCCTCTTGTCGTCCGTATTTTCGGCATAGGCAGAATTACCAGCAGAAGCAGGTACATAGCCTCTACCACAGAGATCGTGCTACTCCATCATCCCAAGGGAGATCTTCTGAAGCTGGCCCTATTCGTATAATAAATAGAATTAAGAGCAAGCAAAAACAAATGCAAGAAGAAATGAAACAAAAAGCAGTGGCTTATAGTTACATGCCAGGAAAGAATTTAAAGTAAGATTCGCCCTGGGGGAGAGAGAGAAAGAGGGAAGTATTACAAATCTGCCCTGTTTCATCCAGCAGCAATGGCAGATGGGTGGG